CGGGCAGGACGAAGTAGTAGAAGAAGTAGCCAACGGCGGCGATCACGAAGAGGGCGAAGATAATATCGACGAACATCTTGAGAGTGAAATTGGATTAAATGTAAAAAATGGACGGAATGAAGAGATGTAGGTTCACCGCGTGCCGATCTCACTGCGATGTAAGAAAATAGGCAAAGATGATGCTGGGAGCAGATCAGTCGTTCGGCGAAGGGCGAGACGTGGCCGGCAAAGCACGGTTTGACAGACGAGGAAGAAGATGAGCCCGTACGCACAACCCAATACAGTACCAAACTGTCGACATCGACAACCGAATTGCCGACAGAGCCCCGTTGGGACCATCAAAATGGGTAAACGGCCGAAGGCAAGTGGGCCGCGCACCAGAGCCGAAAGGCGTGAAGCGAAACTCACCTCTGCACACAGTCGTCCCCGAACCCTCCTCGAGAAGCCACAGGACGCAGCCCTGCCCCCGGCGGGATTCGTTCCCTGATTGAGGGGGTCTCTCGGAGTTTTCCCGGTTGGCCACGGCAGGTGGCGGGAAGCCAAGAGTTGAGTTCTGTGTTCCCGAAGGACGTGAGGCGGTACGGCACACGACCTCCATATTCAGCACAGCTGATGAAATGTCGGTAGCTTGCGCTCATGGACCACAGACGTTTCAAATTGGCTCGGCGCCAGCATGAACGGTCTCCCCCCTTCCTCCCTTTTGGCGTCCTCCAGTACTACCGCCCTCGGCCGGAGCAGTCAACAGCGCGGTTGGTTGCTGTGTGGTGGGCGTTTGGCAGGGACATCGCGTGATGATGAAGACCCGCGGGCGACAGGCCTGAGAGAAGAGCACCGCAGCAAACACAAGTTCAACACACCCTCGCAAGGGCAGCCCACCTCGCCTACACCACGTACCCATTGAGCATCACGACATCAGCCGTCATCAGCCTCAACCTCCCAGACCCGCCCTGGTTCGGTTCAGCACCCCTCGTCAACTTGTGTAGAACTACTCGACGGTCATCATCGGCAAAGGCGCACCACCTCCCTCAGGCCTGGTCCAACCGCCCGGGCCA